ACCTTAAGATTGTCAGCATTTTTAACTGAAACTTTCTAAAATTCAGCATGTAGATGAAAGAGTGGGTAACTTTGCAAAAACTGGAAAATTCTGAAATTTGGTAGTCAAGTCAAGTGTACTACCAAATTTACCAAATACTCCACGTTTTTGGTAAATTTAGGAGTTTTGCTGTTCCAGCTCCAAAATGCCCATCAGTAGAAAGAACGTGAAATCCTGCATAGTTCAGCGGATACCCATTCTACAGTGGGGCCCAAAATATACCAGCCGAAAATTGCTAAGCGACTGTATAGCAGGGTTTACAGTTGGTCTCACTGTGATTCCTCAGGCTTTGGCCTACGCCACTTTAGGGGGTTTGGAACCGCAGGTTGCTTGCTTACACACTGGCACCTCCACACTGAACATTTATGAATATTCTTTCAGTATGGACTGTATTCGGCTTTCATCGGGTGCTTTGTTTATGCAATATTTGGTAGCATAAAGGACATAACTATAGGGCCGACCGCTCTTATGGCCCTGATGACCTACCAGCAAGTTGTGGGAAGGAATACGGACTATGCCATCTTACTATGTTTCTTGTGTGGAGTTGTACAAATGATTATGTCGATCTTGCATTTAGGTATTTTTTCAGCAACTCATCCTATACAAGGTAATTTGGAAAATTTCAGGTGTCCTGGTGGATTTTATATCCATACCAGTAACGGTGGGATTCACCTCAGCTACCTCAGTGATCATTGCCAGCTCTCAGCTGGGCAGTTTGTTCGGCCTGAAAATCTCCTCGAACGGATTTTTCGATGCAGTGACTAAACTTATCCAAAACATCAAGTTTACCAGGCTAACTGACCTGGCGCTGAGCGTCGGCTGTATCATCGCGCTGTTGCTGTTGAGAGTATGGATTCTCTTGCTTTGGATCAGTAAAGACCTCCTATGTCAAAATTTGACTAAAATTTGCCATAAAAAAATCGTCGATTGCTCGCTTATTATCGATCGTAGCGAAAGCGTGAATACCAGCTTTTTTATGGAGCTCGAAACGGCCGATCGACTGGACTAATTAAATTGAGTTCAGCTCTTTTGGTTACCGGAATATTTGCAGTTTTTTGAAAACCATATTTTTGCGATTTTCACGAAAACTAAGAAAGCCGGAAAGTTGGCAAAAATATAGTTGGACAGGGCTAAAATGTTTTTCCAATTTCCAAAGTTGGAAACCGATTTTGAGTATCCAAAATGAAGGTCAAGTTTTGCATTGGATATCCCCGTCCCTATACAGGGTGATTCAAAATTGGTGTAATTCCTTTTAAGGGGTGATAGAGGCTTCCTTGGGGAGCACGGAAAAAATATTGAAAATTGTTTTTTCGAAAATTCCTAGAAAATATTAACAGTTGAAGATCGAAGTTCAACTTTGTTATTAAGCATTATTTTGAAAGTGTTCCATGTTTAATTGGAAGCATATTGGAATACTTAAGCAGTCAAAAAGAAAAATTACGATCTTTGCTTCAAATTACGAAAATTTTCGATATTGAAAAAGTTCCCTTCTACAATTTTTTGATAAAAAGTCAAAGCGGCAGTGATGGTTTTTGTCATCGACAGACCAAACAAATACCGGCTACATTCCATTCCTATCACGTATGTAAAATTCACATTGAACTAATGGATTACAGAACACTGGTATAAATTGGTGTTTACACAGGCACTTGTTTGGAGTTACTCAAACATTGCACAACCACTGACGCTTTCCCAGGCACCAAATAAATACCGGCTACATTCCTACCACGTATGTAAGATCACATTAAACCAATGGATTACTGAACACCGGCACAAATTGAGCAGGAGATAATTAGCCGAATACGAGAGCTGCTCGAGAAGAGTGCATAAGAAGGTGATTACACAGGCACTTGCTTGGAATTACCGACAAATATGTTTTTGTAATTTGCAAACAAATTAATAATTCGGAGAGCAGAAAGACCTATTGGGTCGATAGCTATTTTCTATAGGAAATAAAGATTATTTATATATATAATAATTCGAAGTTATGGATTCGAAATAGGTTCCGTCATTCAACTATTCCTGTTGAATTTACCGTTTATCCTTGTCTATCTTATTGTCACTTTCTCTATTTATCCATGGTGGCCGGAGTTTTAAATAACTACAAAGCAACAGGTTTTTGCGTAATGTTAAAAAAACACTGTTGCCGTTTTTCTAATATAATTTTTTGCAAATTTCTCAGTTTTTAATAACAATTAATTTTTTTAACTATTTTTATGTACTCCTAAAACACCTCCAGAGGAATGACGCCAATTTTGAATCACCCTGTATGTGTGTCTCATGAGTTTTGGTGCCACGGTTTTTTTTCCAGAAATTGAAAGACGTGAAATTGCACCAGAAGGGCGCAAAACCCACAAAGTTCCAACAGCCAATAAACTACACCCTTTGGCTGGTTTCCACGTCTCGAAATGCTATAGTTGTTATAATCTGTAGCACAGTGGCATACTTGTACGAAACCCATGGTACAGGGGCGCCGTTTAAGCTGACGGGGCGAGTAAAGTCGGGATTTCCGGAATTCAAGTTGCCACCGTTTACCACTGTGATCCAGAACAGTACCAGGAACTTTCCTGATATGCTGAGCGATCTTGGCAGCTCTGTGATTTTAGTGCCCGTGATTGGTGTGCTGGGCAACGTGGCCATAGCCAAGGCGTTTGGTGAGACGTATTCGGTTTTTTTAAGTTAATTCAAAAGAAATTCCTGGGTTCCAGTCAGTTTTATTGTTTACTTACAATAAAACTGACTGGAACCCAGGATTTTTTTTTGAATTAAGTTGAAATACAGTCAGGAAAATATACACACAGTTTTTTTCAATAAAATCGTTACTTCAGCTGGAGGCGAAACCATCGATGCCACTCAGGAGTTACTCACTTTGTCATTGTGCAATATTTTTGGATCGTTTTTCTCATCCATGCCCATTACCGGGTCTTTTTCCAGATCGGCGGTTAATCATGCTAGCGGCGTGCAAACATCTTTAGGAGGCGTCGTAACAGGTTGGTATCTTTTCTTGGATATTTGTTGCTTACGCATGCAAATTGCTTCTTTTTTACGGAACGGTTACCAATCTCTGATCAAGCCCTATTTGGGCACAAAGTCAATGCTTGAAAATGTCTTTAATTTCGTTTCAAAGCTTCAAATTTCAGCCTAATAATACTCGTGAAATTGCGATCTTTAGTTGAGAATGCCTAAGATTTGATGATAAAATTGAAGATAATCCTAAAACTTTCCATAATGGAACACTTTGCAACAAAGGTGACCACATTTTTTATCAGTTTTTCCACTAATGAAAACTGTTTGCAAAACTCTGCTCTATGTATATATTTTAAATATAATTTAAATATTTTTTCAGGAATAATGGTTTTGTTGGCATTGAGCTTTCTAACTCGCTACTTTGCGTACATTCCAAAGGCTTCGTTAGGAGCCGTGATCGTGTGCGCTGTGGCATTTATGATCGAATACGAAGTCGTAAAACCTATGTGGAAATCCAGTAAAAAGGATTTGGTCTCAGCTCTGGCCACGTTCGTATTCTGCTTAGTTATTGGAGTGGAATACGGAATTTTGGTTGGTGTGACCATAAACATTATGTTTCTACTGTATCCATCGGCTAGACCTGGTATACGTATCGAGAAATGCGCTGTAAGGACTTTTCTAGGCCTTGAGCCTGCTAAAACTGTTTCTTTGCAATCAAAACGCTTTCAGACTGCAAATGGGCACGAATACATACTGATCACTCCTGACAATGCGTTGTACTTCCCGGCAGTGGATTTCATAAAAACCAGTATTGCCACTGCTGGACTTACGTCCAAGAATCTGCCGCTTGTTATCGATTGCCAGTTCATATTAGGTGTGCTTCTTCTGCTCAGTCGGGAGCTTATCAATGAGATTGATTTTAAATTGAAGGTGCAGACTTTACTGCAGCCAAAGGCATTTCCACACTGGTGAAGGAATTTGCAGCCCGAAAACAACCACTGTACTTTGTAAATGCCCGTTTGGACGTCGTCACGGTCTTTCAAGGTGTGATCTCCGAGGATTTTGTACACTTCAGCAGCAAAACAAACATGGAACAGGCAATAGAAGGTAACGGTTTTAATTCATATGTTGAACAGTTTATTTCAACGTTCGTATACGTTTTAAGAGAACCACAATAGACCAGACGATGAAGAAAACCTGTTGGCAGTCTTTTTGGATAACTCCTCCCAAAAAACTTCAAGTCAAGCTAAAGCTGGAGTCTTGCATAAGAGAAACTCTATGAATGCCTCAAACATTCCACTAATTTGAAAGTAAATCAGTAGGGAGTACAAAAAAATAGTGATGGCATGAAAATGATTAAGCTCTCTCATACCGACAATTTACACACCATGTTCTATTGCATGGGTAAAGGGTGTAATAAAACATACCTTTTAAACAATTTCGTCCTTATTTGACACTTTGAAAAGAAAATATTCAAAGAATCGACCCGAACTAACTTAAGGCTTTGCCGCGTCCTCTTCCTCTTGCGCCTCTCGAACCACGACCTTAAAAACCAAAACTTTAGTCCTGACTGGATTTTTTTAACTTACTGACCTCCTCTAGCGCCTGGCTTCTTTGCAGGTAATGTAGGCGGCGCACCTGGAGAAGAGGCAACTCCATTGGTAGCATCTAAATCCGAATCAGAATCAATTTCCTGGTTCACGTTGGGCCTTTTCCGAGTTTGTAACCGATCTAAGATCTTATTTACCTATCAAGGTCCGAAATAAAATTTTACACGTTTTTGAGCAGATTTTCTATAAGTTTACCGCTGAGGCGCCATCTGCTTCTTGTTCTTTGGCGTTATTCACGAAACCATCGACCCCGTCAATGTCTATTGAGGATTCCTCCAATTTCGTTCTCAGCTCGTTAATTAACTCTCTAGAAGCAAACGAGTTTCAGCCTGTGATCGTGATCGGAATCCGAACTTACTTGGTGACAAGTACGGGAGCGTCATACTCATTGGCATCGATGCATTTGACAACGGATGCGTTCAGAAAATTGAGAGAAAGACACTTGAGTTGCTTTTGCTGGTTGTCCTCGAAATACTGCATTACCAAATCCTCCACGCGACTCGGCAGGCTTTGATTTACCTAAAAAACAAGCCATTCGTGCAATTAAGCGACCAAATTAAATGTAGTTGGACTCACTGGTGTTAAAAACTCGTTCTTCTCCTTGCCGTGTCTGGGACTCTTCTTCACTGTAGACCTAAGTTTGACCATGTCCTTTGGGTTTGCGACTCGACCAATGTATTTCTGTCCAAACCTGATGGTATTAAATGTCTGGCTCTCATCCACATAGGCCACAATTAGTCTCAGCAGCGGCAGCTTGTTTCCTAATTGACCTGAATCGCAGCTAAGTACAGTTGCCAAAACATTAAAGGCCCCAAGTCTCACCCTGCTGATTAGCTTCGGTAATCATGATCTCAATTTCGCTTTCCACCTGCTTTTCAGCATGAGTTTGCCTGGTTAAAAGTTGATCAGTGCATTCGACCTCCTCCTCATCTGGCTGGCCATCCAATTTCTTTAAAATCATCTCCCGAAACACAAATGGCCGAACGGTTTTCAATGGCACTGGGGTGATGTGGAAATTGTTTTTGTAGACTTTCAACAGAGCTACATGCTTGGGAATGGCCTCTCCAATGCATAGGGAGGTGGCAACTGTGCTTCCTGGAAAAATCGATTAAGATACGGACATTTATTTAACTCCATTCTTTTAAAGTTGTACTTTACCGGGTTGTAGAATGTGCGTTTTGCTGTTGGTTCTTTCTGGTTCTATCCTACAGTCATGCTCGTGACCCCAAATGACCAGGTCGAGAATATCGGGCAGCGCATCATCAGGAACGAATGTTTTCACGCCTCGATTCGCTCGGTTTTGGTGCAACACCAAAAGATGGAACCAATCAGGTTCAGGGGGAATGGCAAAACTGAACTGAAATTAATTCGCTTTTTACTATCGCATCTCTGGCTATAAACTGGCCATAATGCGCCCACCTTTTTGTCAAAGATCAGCCTGGCCAATTTCTCGTCCTTAATATGCGATAGTCCATACAGGGCCAGCTTGGTTTGGCCTTTCCGCAGCAGAATCGGTTGAATTTCTACCGAACTGTGGTCGCTGCATTTTCCAAAGTAGTTCACCAGCCCGGTTGAAGCCACTAAGTTCATGGCGGATATTTGATGCTCTCCAGTCGGGTCGTCGTGATTTCCATGTACTGAAAACACTGGCAGTTCCACATTGAGGTTTGGATCTTCATAGTTCACTGTGTCGTCTCCAGTATTCGAAAAATTATGCGATGGGTCCGATAGGAATTCCACTTGAACCGGTTCATCTCCTAAGCAGTACCTTGATAAAGCAAAAATACGACGGTGGTTTAAAATTCTGGTTAAAACGAAAATAACTTTTTAACTGATTTTGGACAGGATCTACAATCAGAATGTTTAAAAGCAGACCCAGAAGCCAGGAACACTTTCAACGTGTGTAGCCTTAAATGTCTCGATAATTCAAATGAAATCGCTACACGAACTTTTGCTGCCATGACTGTTAAAAGCGGAATTACGTTACCTCTTCAGCAGTTCAATGCACTTATAAATACAATACGTCGATGGCCGGGACTCATGAAATAGATCTCCTCCCAGTAGAAGAAAATCTACTCGATTTTCCTTGGCAGTTTTAAGCACTTCTTCGAATGTATCAAACGTATCATTGGCTGCAAAATACATACGAATTCAATGCATTTTGCCATTCATGCAAGTTGCGGGGATGTTCCCACCTCTTACGGGATCCTTCTCAGCAAACCCTAAATGAATATCAGTAGCTACCAGAATAGAAAACACATCTTCATCGTGTTCTTCTGCCTGTCTTGCTATGCATTCCTCGTCTGGGCTTTCTGACGACATTTTTCGAATAGAGTAATTTTATCACATAAACTAAAGGGCAAACTTGATAACGCACCTAAAATATGGTTCTTCACAATTACAACAAACTGAAAACCTTTAAAAATATATGTAATGTTTTGAAGTATTTACTGGTTGGCGTTTATCAGGTTAGGTTATAGTTTTGTAGTTTTCTACTTTTTAGTTTGTGAATATGGCGCGCGTTGAAGCATAGTATTTGGCCACAAAATATCCCCCTGTTGGGGCATGTTATGTGGATGAAGTCCGCCACAAGACATTTGAGATAAGTATGTAGAATGTGGTTAGAGGATTTTAAGTCAAAATTCAAAAGTTGAAAGGCTTTGGTTAAATAATTCGCATGTTTTCCATTCCAAAGAAGTTTCTAATTGACAAAATGGGTCATTGGAACCCCATCCATGTCACTAAGCCAGAGTTCGAATCAAGTGTTTATTTTAGTTCGTAATCTTTAGATTGCATCAAATATCCAGGTGAATTATTATCTATGTTGATCGGCGATTGCTATTATGGATTATACGTTGTTAGCTTAAGTGTTGTTTCATTTCAATTGTGTGAAGTGAAAGATAACATTTAAATACGCACACCAATGAAGGTTAAATTATGCACTGATTTTACATGCTAATTGACTTGGAAGTATGTTTGTGAAGCTACTGGAATAATTTGGAATGTTTTCACTTTCACAATGTCGCTGAGGTCGCCGTATAAGTTCTTCAAATGTAAGTAAACAGGACCGTTCATGTTCAAAGACTTCACTGCAATTGCAGCTTACTTGGCCAGTAGTAGGTGCTTCAGTTTGCATAAATTGTCAGACCGACACTCACTACTGAGGAAAACCTGTAGGGACTTTTCTGAAAAAGAGCTGAAACCCGTTGCGGCCCACTTGGACAAGGAGGGTGAATTTCCGGCTGAACAAGTGAAAATTTAAATACACTCAATCCAATTGACTCCGGAATATTACATTTCAGATAAGCAAACTGGGCCGACTTGGACTTCTTGGTATTACTGCCGATTGTCGATTTGGAGGATCTGGTGAAAACACGCTTGGGCTCGCAATTGCTATCGAAGAGCTATCAAAAGGCTGTGGAGGAACTGGTGCAATTGTATCTATTCACAATGCGCTCTATGTTAATTTGCTCGACACTTTTGGAACTGAGCAACAAAAGAGGCAGTTTCTCACTGGGTTTACATCTAAACATCTTGGATGTTTTGCCTTGAGCGAATCAGGTAATAATGCACTTTTGTCGAATCGCTGACCAGAACACATTGTGCTCGATTTATAGATGCTGGAAGTGATGTGAGCGCAATATCGACAACTGCCCAATTGGATGGCGATTTTTATGTACTAAACGGGAGAAAAACTTGGGTGACGAGCGGCCATGAGGGCAAAGCTGCAGTGGTTTTTGCCACGATTGATCAAACCTTGAAACATAAAGGCAACTTTTGCTCGTTGAGTTACTACGAACTATTCCAAAACTTCTTTGCTTAGGTATCACGGCGTTCATTGTGCCGGTTCCAATTCAAGGTCTAACGATGGGCAGACTGGAAGACAAAATGGGCATTCGGGCTTCTTCAACCTGTGACTTTCACCTGGAAAATGTGTGTGTTCCAAAGGACAACTTAATCGGTAGCGCGATTTGAACGGATTCGAAAACAGCAAACTGATTATTTGGCATTTTTTCCAGGAAAGACTGGTGATGGATTTTTAATTGCAATGAAACAGCTAGAGAAGGCTCGAGTAGGCATCGCATCGCAAGCTTTGGGCATTGGTCAAGCTGCCCTCGAACTGGCCGTTCAATATTCTTCGGAAAGAAAAGCTTTCGGGCACCCACTCAACCAACTGCAAGCTGTGAAGGTAAGCGACTGAACCAAGTAACCAGAGAACACTGTTTTTTTTTCTACATTGCTTTCACAGCTTAGACTAGCGGAAATGGCTACCAAACTGGAAGCAGCGCGTCTATTGGTGTGGAGGGCAGCTGCAATATTGGATGAAGGGGAACGAGCAACCAAGTACACCTCAATGGCTAAATTAGCTGCTAGTGAGGCAGCCACTTTCGTATCACATGGAGCGATACAGATTTTAGGAGGCATGGGGTGAGTTAAAAAATCAACTCACTCACTGTTTTTTTACCTGCATTTTTTTCAGTTACATCAAAGACATGCCAGCCGAAAGGTATTACCGCGATGCCAGAATTACAGAAATATATGCCGGAGTAAATGATGTACAGAAATTATTAATAGCCGACATGGTTATCAAAGAATATACATAGCTGTTGACTTTTAATATAATTTTGGTTACTACCTGATTTTTATTGTAAACATCTGACGCAACCCATAAGCCTTGTTCTATGACGCAACATAAACGCACTGTTTCGCTGCTATTTACCATATATTCAACGAACTGCAGAGTTGCCACTGGTTTTACTTATAATTTATCATGACATAATGTGCTCATCAATCATTGAAATCTATTTTAACAAAAAGCCAGGAACTTTTAGCGCACTCCGACAACACTGAATCGAATTGCACCGGTTTCCGAACAAGAGCTTGAGCATACCACGATCATTCCGAGTAAAAGGCACGCTGTGTTGCCAACTTGATGACAAAGTAGTAATGTGTTTAGTGTTATAAACGTAAAAAACCAGAAAAAACATTTATAAAGCCAAAAAAAAAAAAAAAACACTTACTAATCCAAAAAAAAGAAAGAAAACAATAACTTACAAACCTAAAGCATGCTCGTAATTCCACATTGCAAAAAAAAACACTAACCCAAGCATTCGCATCTTACACATCGCAAAAAAGACAAACCAAGAAAGGTCGGGGTTGAAGCAAAGGAAGCTTACTTAGCCCATATGAAGCCAGTGGGAAAACAAGAAAAATAAAAAATATACATACTTCTTTGTGGGTGGCACGGCTGGAAATTCGATCCCTCAGCCCTATTACACCTTTACACCCCCACTAATGTTTTTTACTTTCACTTTACAATCGCAAATTTTCTAGTTTAAAGTCACATTTTCGGGTCCTTCACTCCTTCGAGAGACATTTCCAACAAATAAGACACTTTTTCCAGAACGAACGTGCAAAACCCGACTCATTTAATACTTCAACTGTAATAAATACGTCTTTACTGACAGCTCATTTCAGAGTTGACGTGTTTGTGTTTACTCGTTGCCATGCTACACGCCTTGTATTCAAAAAGTCGACAAGCGATTGGTCGATCAGGTTTATTTGTATCCGGAAACACGTCACCAGTGACTAGGCAACGAAGGTTGTTGATTTCTTCGAAAGGGGAAAAGTACTGATTTTAGGCGGAAAATATTTTTTTTGGCCGAAATTTTTCTAAGGGTGGGAGTCGATTCTTTGAAAATATTGAAATTTTCTCAATATGAATTAAATTTTACATCATTAAAAGTCATTAAAAAGCATGGCAGACGTTTCAGATCCGAACTAATAGACATTTTCGGCACTTTTAAGCGTTTTTTTGAGAGATGACCATCTTTAGCCGACGATTTCCTTCTCATTTTTGATCCGAACACAAATAGAAAATATCCATGAGACAAAAGTAGTAGGAAATCGCATTTTCGCAGAAAACACCACAAAAAAAAAATAGTGAACGCAAAATAATCATTTATCATCTGAGCATATACTATATGGCTAAACGCGCAAAACACACAAAATGTTCTTGACAATTTCCCACATTTGATTAAACAAAGTAGATCGACATTGCTACTTGCTGGTAGTTTTCCCATTGTCGTTTTGACGCGAAAAAAATGCAAAAGTCGCTAAAATGGGCTCCTGCCCAGCCCCAACGGCGCCTAGACAACATAATCTCCTCAAAAGCCCGAGAAAACGGCGATTTGATCGGGTTTGTGCCCACATACCTGGCGGTAAGACCTTCTCCCGCCCTCAATTTCAATCACTTCAGCCAATCGGAGCGTTTAGGAGCCGATGGAGAAGATGCACTTCATCATGAGCAACGAGTACATGAGGAAGTGGTTTAAGGAGCGCGGCGCCTACGAAAAAGACACCTACAGCAAGGAGCAAATTATCAGAGAGGAGAGTCGGATTAAGCGCCGATTCGTCCAGCGAATGATGACCTACCAAAAGCCCGTGAAGACCCAGTTGTTTGAGGAGAACGTCTTGCGCAAGTAGGGGCGTGATTTTTGCTTGCAACTTGTTGGAGGGAATGAGTTTTAGGCCTCCGCAAAAGGGCGAACAGCCGCTCGACTACAAGAAGTTCAAGTACAAGCCGGTCTGCCCCAGAGCAAAGGCGCAGCAGAAGAACTCTCCTAAGGCTCAGGCTGAGCAAAGTACTCGCGTATGTTAGAGCTGGGCAAGTCGCCTAGGGCTTAGAAGCTTAGGCTGAAATTCGGAAAATTAATGTCAACTAAGCCTTATTCAAAGCAATACAGCCATATTTTTATTAAAATCCGATGTATTTCTGACAGCGGGGAGGTCTAGTGGGGAGAAGAAAAAGTGGATTTTCCGGAAACTGTAACTTTTCCGTTATAATCGGCGATTCGGGGAAAAAATGAGCTGGATTTGGATCGAGATTCTAAAGAGGGGGCACGGTTTGCCTGAGGTTAAACACCCAGTGTGGGAAAACCAAGAGAGGCAGACGACTGAGGATTTTTCCTTTGGAAAGAACTCACTTTTCCATACAGTACCTGAAAGTTTCCTGTTCGCCTCCTTATCAGGGAATTCTGGAAGAATTGGCAAACTTGAGCTAGATGGGCAGTACAGATTCTATGAGTTACTGAAAGTTGAACATCCAGTGTGTCTGAACCAAGAGAGATTTCGGACTGCGGATTTTTTATTTTGAGAGGGCACACTTGTCCCTACACCCCCAAAAAGTTTCTCTCTCTTACCTACACTAGGGATCTGTGGAGATTTTTCAACATCCAAGCGACCACTTCCGAAAAGCCGGGAAGAAAATCTGAATGCTACCACGCCTTTTGTAAACACCCTGTATACATTATTGTGTCAATAATTAGCACGGTTTTTCGGGCTTTTTGTTTATTTCCCATTGAATTGAGCGCCAATCTTTCATTATGACCTCCAGTCCTCGGAAGTGTTTGTTCCTCGCAAACAATCGAGGCTTTATATGGTCTGAGAAAGAAGAATTGTAAATCAATGTTCATGTAACAGCCATTTAAGAAAATAAGATTATTATGGGTCGGGAATAACCCGGAGGTCAATTTGAATTAATCAGCTTAAACCGCGGGCAAGTGTTGGGCCAAGAGTATCTATGTGTATTTTTAACAATAAATATAGGATAGGGTGCCGACTGTTTGGTTATTCTGGCCTTCTTATTGCATTGGGAAAGAAATGTTGATTTTTTTGGCATGTATTTACCGTGTCCTCAAGCTTGTATTCAGTTGTTTCTATTTTTTTGTGTCTGATTTATTTTCTTGACCATTGTTATAATATTCTTATCTTTCCTGGGTCTCAGGCAAAGTGTGAAGTAAAAATGTTGAATATCGTTTATTTCATTACGTTTCGGCGAGACAACAGCGCCATCATTCAGAGATTTCGACGATTAAAAATCTGAAATTTACGGGATTTTGTGCTCTTCAAGTCACCGTTCGGTTTTTCAAAATCGGACCAGTAGAAAAAGAGTTATGAGCCATACAGTTGCGATTTTCAAATTGATTTTTTTGCAAAAAATTTAGATTTTCAAAATTTTTCACAACTATGCATTTAGGGCAACTGATCCCAATTTAAACGCTTTTTGATTTTTTGAAATCGGGCCGATAATAAAGGAGTTATAGATAAAAAAAATCCGCATCAATCTGACACAGAATTCCTGCCCAACTCTGATTAAAAATCTGAAAGTTACCAGACTTTGTGCTCTTCAAATCACTTTTTTGTTTTTCAAAATCGGACCAATAGAAAAAGAGTTATGAGCAATAGATTTGCGATTTTGACATTAATTTGTTTGCAAAAACTTCAAGATTTAAAAAATTTTCAAAACTATGCATTTAGTGCTAGTAATCGCATTTTAAACTGTTTTTGATTTAACTAATGTAAAATTAAGTGAATCCCCATATAATAGCTCGGTAAACTGCTGAACCTTCATCGCCGCATTATTTAGCATAATTAAGTGGAAGACGCAGTGTTCGATTCGAGAAATAAAGCACATGTTTTGTTTTATTTTATTTTATTTCTATTTTTTTTTATTTTGTATTAGTAGTAGTGTTCAATATTTTGATGAGAAAAAAGGTGCCCCACGGATTTATCAAAACTATAATTTTGTTTTTCGATTTCTTGTTCAATTCCGAACAAAAAAGCCCTCTTGAGTTATCTTCGTACATCGTGCTATTTTCGAGTAAACAAATAAAAATCGTATTAATGACATAACTATGGTTTGAATTAAAAAATCAAGACGTACATTAAAACGGTTTTAAAATAATAGAGTTATGGATAAAAAAAACCCACATAAATCTGACAGAGAATTCCTGTGCAGTTTTCTGCCCAACTTTTAGATCCGTCAACCGATTTCAGCCGTTAAAAAACTGGAATATTCGGAAAAGTGTGCTCGTCAAATCAACTTTTGATTTTCCCAAATCGCGCGAGTAGAAAAAGAGTTAGGAGCCATAGAGTTACGACTTCCAAAACTCAAAATTTTTAAATTTTTCCAAAAGCTTCCATTTTAAAGTATCCGATGCCATTTGAAGCGCGCTTTTTGATTTTTTCAAATCGGCCTAAAATTAACAGTTATGGATACAAAAATTGCATAAATCTGACACAACATTTTGTGCAGTTTTCTGCCCAACTTCGAGGTTTGCCAACCGATTTCAACGATTTAAAAACTGAAATATTCGTAATCTTGCGCTCTTCAAATCAACATTCGATTTTCCGAAATAGCGCGAGTAGAAAAGGAGTTAGGAGCCATAGAGTTACGACGTCAAAATGGCTTTTCCCTTCTTCGCGCCATCTTCTTTTTAAGAGACAAATTTAAGGTTTCAAGAGGGCAAAGACCTAAAAGAACGTTGATTTTTACCAATCATGAGTTTGTGTAAATTTTAAATCTGATGATGGCGCTGTTGTCTCGCCGAAACGTAATGAAATAGACGATGTTTCCAAATTTTACTGCGACCGAAGAAAGATAAGAATATCATAACAATTTTTTTGTGTGCCATCCATTCATTCCGCCTGCGATTTAAGTAAACTCCTTGTTTCCTTCCTCTCTTTTTTTACATCTTTGATATCCACGCTTTTCCGATCTTCCCTTCATCGTTTCCAATTTTTTTTTGCCTGCAAGTTAGCTGTTATAGATGATTTTCTTGTTCATCTTGGTCTATTTTGATTTTCCTTCAGGACAGTTTTTCTTGCAAAACTTCGCGATATTACTGTTAAGGTTACAGTTACTGGCAGGAAATTGTCGTCAGTCTTGCTATAAAAGAAAGAAAATTCGGCAAAAACTTAACACATAAAACGATAAAGTTCCACATTCTTAAGACATGCCATCGGACTATTCCGCAATGGACTTTCCAGCATGTGTGCTATTCACTTCTCGATAAATGTTCTGTTATTCGTTTGTGCTATTTGTATGTTCGGATTTTATTGTTGATTTGCTGTGATTTCCTAGAAAGTAAGTCCAACTTTGATAAAAGAGCATAATAATTAGGATTTAAGTAAATGAACCCGGCGTTAGATTACATGGCAGCATGCAGACTCTCATGAATTGTTAACGTTTAATATACGCATAGCGAGTCTTTGATCGTGCTTAGCTCATTGTGTACTTCCGTACCAAAGACAATATTTTACTAAAAAAACAGAAACATTTATTAATATTTCTGAAACCGCTTGAGAGATTTTAATGAAATTTTGCAGATATGAATAGGCATCAAGTGGCCATGTTTCTGTAGGATGAAACATTTTTGTCTTAATCAGAGGCGCGCGTACCGACATTTATTCAAAGTTTTTGAGGCAAAAATTGGTGCTCTACTGTTTTACCAAAAAATAATTTTTTTCGTCTACTTTTTTCGTAAACTCCTCATTTTCGAGTGAAAAAATAAAACCGCTTTAATGCACGTCTTGATTTTTTAATTCAAACCATAGTCATGTCATTAATACGATTTTTATTTGTTTACTCGAAAATAGCACGATGTACGAAGATAACTCTAGAGGGCTTTTTTGTTCGGAATTGAACAAGAAATCGAAAAACAAAATTATAGTTTTGATAAATCAGTGGGGCACCTTTTTTCTCATCAAAATATTGAACACTACTACTAATACAAAATAAAAAAAAATAGAAATAAAATAAAATAAAACAAAACATGTGCTTTATTTCTCGAATCGAACACTGCGTCTTCCACTTAATTATGCTAAATAATGCGACGGTGAAGGTTCAGCAGTTTACCGAGCTATTATATGGGGATTCACTTAATTTTACATTAGTTAAATGATAATTTTGCCTGCTTTTCTTCAATTTATTTGCTTGCTTAATTTATGTGCTTTAGAAAGTCGATTCTATACGGGGATTACCAGTGTATGTATATAATCCAAGCCGCAGGTCTTACTCTTTAAGTTTCGGTTTGTGAGACGAGTTAGTTTAGTTTATACTTGTCTGCTCTACAGGGTGTTTGGTAAGTCGAATTCTTGCAGAAGGCTTCAGTACTATTTTCAGGTTCCTTTTAAAAAACCCTGAAAGCAGCAGAAACTAATTGACCCCTTTAAGTCAAGAACCACTCAAGGAAGTTCAAGAAAAACAGTTGGACAAAGTCCGTTGGTGAGAGGAAAAACAGTTGAAAAGTTAGAAACCCTCAAGATACAAAAAACTCATTATCAAGCCTTTTCTGGGGCTCAATCCTTTTAGAACGTTTCGGACATCAACTATTTTCTTCGCTACCAAGTTACCTTCCCAGCCCATTTGTGCAGCACACTTAGTAGAATTATTTTACTTTATCTCAAAAAATATATTTTCGGTTTTGATACCGAAGCCATGACATTGACCGCCGATAATAATGGTCAGCAAAACACTTATCTTTTCAAATTAGTGGCTTTATTTAATAAATAGCGCAATCTTGTGTTCTGCAATGCAGAAAACTTGTGCAACTGTCCAAAAAATGTTGCTGAGCAAACTGCAACCAGCAACCAAAATGTTCCTCTTTACAAATCCCCCTGGTAATAGAGCTGACCAGTTTTGACGTGGCCGAGTGCATTCGGTTATCATCGGTCTAATGCTCAGAAGTGAGAGCGATGTATGCGTCTTCGTCCCGCCGGTCCATGTACGAGAGCTTTGCGTAAATTAGTAGCATTTGGAAATCCAACTCTAATTCAAGATTTGACTAATATTCACCCTATATATATAACAAAGTTAAGTCCAAAGATAATTGTTATCTCTTCTAGAGGAAAAAGTTCCGCAAACAGTATCGCTGGTTATAAATAGATTGGTCTTTGAAGGCGATTGTGAGTTAGTTCAGTGTTTTAGAGCTGGACAATGCAGAGGACTTTGCTCTGGGTCCTGCTAGGGATTGGGTGTATTTCCCTCTCCAGTGCCAGACTGATTGGGAGGAGAAGCTTGGTGGTGACCACTGAAACTACTCAGGAGGATACGAAGAATGCCGCACCAACAGTAAGCTGCGCTTTCCATACGGCATTTGGTGCAGGTACTTAAGGGAATGTTTGCAGATCGCTACTTCGCCGCAGATCTACCAGATGCGTGTGGACACCAACGTGTCCAACAGGTATGCAGTGACTCTGGTAACCAGCAAAGTGAGGAACATTGGAGATGCTGCTCAGGAGGCCACGTTTTCCGTGGTTACTCCCGATCAGGCCTTCATCTCGGGCTTTACCATGGAAATCGATGGGAAGAAGTATAAGGCTTATGTGCAGGAGAAGGAAGAAGCAAGGGAAACATACGACAGGGTAGGAACTATACAACAGTTCTCCCATAGGGTTTGCAGGTTTCTTGTTTTAGGCTGTAGAAAGTGGGTTTGCGGCAGCCCATGTGGCAGCCAGTGCCCGAGACTCCAACCGATTTACAGTATCAGTGAATATTCAGCCTGCAAGTAAAGCCACGTTCTATCTGACCTATGAAGAACTGCTGGTGCGAAAGGATGAGAAATACGAGATTGTTCTGAACATTCATCCAGGCGAGCCCGTCAAAGACTTGCTAGTGCAGGTAAGAGCTTCATTCATTGCGCTGGCCAGGAAAAATCAGAATTTCGGGCGATGTGCCCGGAATTTTTCGGGTTTTTGCACTGAACTACCTTCTATAGACTGCGTGAATTTCAAGTTGCTACTTGCTCTCCAGAGGAAGTTATGGGTGCTTAAAGCAGAGCGTGCAGCCGCTTGCGTTCTCTCAGTCGGTACCAAACTCGTCAGATTCAAGCGTTTTGCTCTTTTTCTATGCCAATTTTCCTGTGATTTCATTGTTTTTTTTAAGTTTGGCACTCAAATGTGAGAAAATCAGGCTGCTACTTGATGTTGCTTGGATCGCCAAGTCGCTGCTTGCCCGAATTTGGAGGTTCTAAATTAAAAAAAGCTGTTAATAAATGTAAATTTTTGAATCAGACAGTAGAACAAATTGGCAAAAATCAACAAACTTTTACGGGCATCGTTGGATAGTTGGATGTGATAACTTCAAGTTGCTGCTTCGGTATCTGGATTAGAAACTAGCTGATGATATAGATAATACTATTTTTGCTCCAGGTTAACATTGACGAATCGCGGCCCCTCAAGTTCGTCAAAACGCCATCTTTGCGGTCCGGTAACGAGCTGCTGAAAAACAACCCCAACTTGGACCCTGAAGCTGAAATAACCAATTTGAACGAAACGTCTGCAGTTGTCCGTTTTAATCCGGATATTGCCAAGCAGAGGATCTTGGCCGAAAGTCTCGGCGGCAAGGAGAAGAATGGACTTAGTGGCCAATTCATTGTGCAGTATGATGTGGCCAGAGACCCAGAAGGAGGAGAGGTAAAAGAAGTTCATCCATTAAAGTTTTCCCATACAATTTCCAAAGAATCCAATAATCAGCTATTGAGGTTAAGTCGCGGTTTTTTACCCCAAAAGTTATCCGTCAAACATTTGAGACCGGAAATAGGATCAATTTCAATCAAATCGCTCATGTTTAGGAAAAGCGAATAATACCAATCGTCTCAGGAGGACGAGGTGGCCGAGTGGTTAAGGCGTTGGACTGCTAATCCAATGGGCTCTGCCCGCGTGGGTTCGAATCCCATCCTCGTCGTTCCTTTTGATTTAAACAACCACCTCTTCCTTGCCTATGCTTTTTGCTTTTTGAAGAAATGTAGCTTCTGTAGCTGGAAGCTGAAAGGCTGGAAGACGCCTGTGTCCAAAACTGGAGGAATAAATGCTGAAGACGCATAAGAAGAGGAGGAATATAACTTCAGTGACAGACAGAAAAGTGTTACTTTTGCCTGGTTTCCCACTAGGCTGAAGATCTGCTGTCTTCCTCCAGTGCCTACTGCACCTTCTTCCAACGCCTACTCTTCTTGCACATGCTATTCTATTCTAGGTGTTGGTCAGCGGAGGTCACTTCGTGCACTTTTTCTCACCGGAAAACCTGACGCCATTGAAGAAACAGGTGATTTTCGTGCTGGACACCAGCGGAAGTATGTCCGGTGTCCGGATCACGCAGCTGAAAGAAGCGATGGACAGCATTTTGGATGAACTGAAGCCTGAGGACGTCTTCAGTATCGTCGAGTTCAACTCGCTGGTCAAAGTGTGGGATGTGTCCACCATCCGAGTCAGCTACATGGAGGGAGAGGACCCCTACATCTACTCCGATAGAGACACAACTACGCCAGCTACTCAAGTGCTCCCTCCCTCGTTTCCTGCCACTGAATCGAACATAATCAACGCCAAAGAGGTAACTCCCTAACCAGGAAAAACTTGGAAGCATCTTGATCGAACTGGGAATCTGCAGGTCGTCAAGCAGTTGGATGCTAATGGAGGTACCGATATACAATCCGCCCTCAAAATCGGCCTCAATATCGAGACCAGCAATGCCATCAAAATCCATCAGCCCATCATAGTCTTTTTAACTGATGGTGAGCCCACCGTTGGAGAATCCAACACCGAAAGGATAGTTTCCAGCGTAAGCCACTCCCAAACCCCCGAGCCCCGCAAGAAACTTAACATTGTTCTTCACTGTTAAAGATTACGGCGCTTAACACCCTCAAAGTGCCAATCTTCTCCTTGTCGTTCGGCGATGGAGCTGATCGGGAATTCTTGAAGAAGCTCTCGCTGAAGAATCAGGGCTTTAGCCGCCACATCTACGAGGCTGCTGACGCCTACATTCAGCTGCAGGACTTCTACAAGCAGATTTCCTCGCCTCTCCTATCCAATGTCACCTTTAGGTACACCGACCAGGCATCCAACGTAACCAAATCCAATTTCCCCATACTCTTCGGAGGCGGTGAGCTGTTTACCACTGGAATTCTCCGAGGTTGGTGCCCTGACATCGTATAATTTCCATTTTTCCATCTCACCAAGATGATTCAGATCCCAGCATCGTCCCTCCAGCAGTGGAAGCATGGGGAGTGAATGGACCCATCCAGCTGCAGCCCAAAGTTTTCCAGGTTTCCGGCAACCTGGAGCGCTTGTGGGCTTACTTAACTGTCCGCCAGTTGCTGGAGCAGCGCGAGGTGGCTGAGGACAAGACTGGGCCAACCCAGGAGGCTTTAAGGTGGGCGTGAGTTGACGATTGTCCCCCCATATGAACCATGAATCTGTTATAAACTAGGCTGGCGTTGAAGTACTCGTTTGTGACGGATGTGAGCTCTTTGGTGGTGGTCAAGCCCAACGACACTGCCACTGTTGATACGGTAGACGCAGCTGAGAGTTTTTCCCCTTCGTTTAAGCACCGTACAGGTAAATTGGAGAGTTTAGATACAATCGGATGAGCTCCAAAACTGATAAGTTTTGGAGCTCTTGGTTTCAGGATAAGTTTGATTCATTGCTCAATTGCGTAGTCTTGATATACATGACCATTCTTAACTGCATGCGCCTTTGCTTGTTTGGGAAATCTGGTGAAACTCCTCAATCATCAAACAGTTTTTCTGTGAACCGTCCGTTTTGCTAGCGCTTTTAACCGTATTTTGCAGCATTTGCAGCTTTCAGCCCAATGAGGAACTTCAGACCGGCAATAGTCCCAACAGCAGCGGTTTCATATTCGTCCCATTTCGGATTTCCAATTTTATTTAGCCAACCTGCGAGGGACTTTTTGAGACCAGGTAAAATATTTCGGGGAAACCGCTTGCACCACCAGTGAACTTAGATATTAAAGAATATTATTTTAGCTGCGTCTCCTATTCAACCATCATCACTTCATACCTTCATACCCGATCAACATTCAGTTTTTACAACTTCGCCTCCATCCTTGTCCAAGATTCCCTGGTTGGGAACCGTTAGGAACACCAACGGTACCATCACAGTAGGTTCAGGTAAGAATTCTATAATAACAACAACATTGTCTTGTGCTTGGGCGTGGCTTAATAAGCCGTATTTTCCAGATGCGTATTCCTTGGACTATGATCCCAGTGTGACACCGTATTCCTGCCAGAATTCCCTCAACAAGGCGAACGGAACCTGCCTTCAGCTGATGAACTGTGAGCAAATCTATCCGCAGTTGACTGACTTTGATACCTTTAAGAAGTACTTCTGCAAACTGGACACGTAATATTTGGTTTACTTGCTGTAGATGTTTTTATCAGTGAATTTTGTGTCTTTGCAGTGCTGCTGGAGTATGCTGCCCAGACTCGCCCTTTCCATAAGCGAACTGCACTGAAAACCCACTACTCCCACAGTTTTCTAGGCTTATTACAACAACTTGTACTGTAGAAATACACGTTAAGACATCGGCAGTGGTTTATTTATCCGAAGCTTCAGAGGCTTGCGACGCTGCTTCTACAACATCATCCAAAGCCTCCACGATCCCCGTTTGCACAGCACGCTCATACATGTCTTCATTCAGCTTCCAGTCCTTCTGGATCCCTTTGCTCAACATCGAGTGCCCCGACAATGAGTCCTCTTCGTATATAACGTCAAACTCGTCATCGGAAACAACGTCCACGCCTTTTTCCAGCAAACGTGAGAGCTGCTGCTTCATTTGGTCAGCCTGCGGGTCGACAATGCTGCTGCGAATGCTCACGAAGCTGGACTGAACCACCACTGGAAGGTGCGTTTCCAGTTCTTGTGCCACTTTCAGTGGGCTGTTGGTCTTGCTTCTCAGGATTGACATTCTCGGGAACTTTCTCTTGTCGATCTTCAATGGAGGCTTCGGTTGCACCGCTGTAACCATCTGAAGCAAGTGGAAATTCCGTTGGAGAATATGGAAAATATGCTGGAGGACTGCTCAAAAGAGCCCAAAGTGGGCAGTTAGTGGGAGAAGCTTGGAGGCGAGGCCCCAATCTCCTACCCCAATTGCCTACACAGCTGTTGAGCAGAGCTTTGAGCAATTGCTTTATTCTGTTAAGATCTTTGGCATCTTACTGCGTCGCTCCGTGGAGGAAGGATTATTTCGCTGCATGCCAAAGTAGGTCTTTGGTCTGGATGGCACTCCGGGCGACTGTCTTCCGTGGCTGACTTTCCCTTTGCAGCTTGCTGAACAAACACATTGGACAAAGATCGTCGCCGCCCCACTGCAAACTCGTTGCTGCTGGAAAGCTCTTTTTCTGCGACCTGAGTGTCCCGAACCAGGCCTGATTCCTGAAATGAATCTTGGTAGCTCAAAAATCAGTTGCTGAAATGGAACATATGTTCCTGATCATGCCAGTGGCTCGCGTTGGAGAAACGTCGGCAAAATCCTGGCGAAAAGCTTACCGGTGAATCAATCTGCATAAAGGACACGCCCTTTCTGTGGGAGTTGTTCAGCTGCGCGGCTTCTGGGATTTGCAGATTAGGAAAGGCCGTATCAAAAGCAACTGAAACAACGCAAACTGTTGGGGTTTTTTTGAAAAATTTCCAGGGCCGAGACTGACAAAGGGGATGAACCTCTTCATCCAGCTGCTTATTTCTGGCAATGTCCGCAAACGTTGTCAGTTCCCTCTCCTGCTGTGCCAGTTCCATGGTGGTCACGCTTTCATCGCAATGGTTGGCTTAACATGAAAAATTTCAAACACTCTTGACTCATTCCTGGAGGGACTTGAACCCAGCTCACCTGTGTGTCCAGGAGTAGGCCAGGTGAGGTAAACGTCCTCCTCCTCGTCAATGATAGCTAGAACAGTGTCAATTGATGGACACTTTTTTACAACACTTCCCACTTACGCAGGCAGTGTGCTTCGGAGTAAGATTGAGTGGCAACTCCGCGCCGTTTCACCTGCTCCATGGTATGGTCTACAATGCTATCCAGAAAATTCCTGACTGCGATGACCTCGGACATGATGTTCTCCACTGTGACGCCCGCCAAATGATGAGGAGATTCATGCATATTGAAGAAACTAGCTGGAAGTTTTACTCATTTGGCGGAAACTTGGCAAAGTTCTGGGCTCACCTGGAAGGCTGGGGTATTCTTTTCTGAACACTCTGCAGTCTTGGTCGATGCATTTTGCGCCAACGCACTTGGCTTGCAGAAACGCATACCCAGATGGATGATCCTCCGGATATTCGCCCACTTGTACTTCTACGTGTTTGCTCCCATCTTCCTTCGAAATGGACTTTGATGCTTTCGCACCAGATTTGCTCATTTTCCCATCGATTTCTTGGAGTTCGCATTCTCCCTTGCTGTGTTCTTGACTCCTACTTGCCTGCTTACTGGTTTGGCTTGCAATTTTGCTGAGTTCGCCCTCTTGCTGGCTGTTTCCGTCTACTCCCGTCTTGTCGATGTCCTCCTCACTTCTTGCCTGCTGGCTTTTGGACCGTTTGGGCTTCGCAGCTTTCAACCTACACAGCAACCAGCGCTTGCCGATCTACTCTAGTGGGAAACCATTCTGTTACCTTATAGAAGGCAGCAGATTCGAGAAAAGGTCCAAATAGTCCAGCTGGATGAAGCTGCTGGCGTGTGGAACGGCCACATAAAGCTGGCCGTGCAGTAGATCCGACGGATCGTGGATTGGCTTGCCGTCGATAGAGCACAGGCTGGAAAAAGTTGAAAATAATTCCAGGAAGTTTACTCTTGGATTAAGCTTACTACTGTATACCTTCGCCCACATCCAGGCGATGTCCCAGATAGTCCAGCACCATGTCGTAGTCCATAAGGTCCCGCTCAATTAGGACTACTTTACTGGGCAGTTGGCAGGCTCTTCCTGATACCATGATGTAGAGGAGAGTTCTTTTATTCCTCTTGGTGCATGCGATGAGGTTTAGGTCCGAGATGCTGATACTGTAGTCGTGCTTGGAGGGTCGCCGCTTCATTTTCGATTCATCCACGTATCTGCAAAGCCACAGATGAATGTTTCCAGGAGCAAATGGAAGACTCACCCGTTCTTCCGAAATTTGACTTTCTCAGCCCCTACAGCGACATACTTCCCGTTGGGCCGGATTTCCTTTAGGCACAACACCAGTTTCTTAGTGTCCAGATGGTACAGCTTGCGCACAGCCCCAAAGCGAGGCTGTAGCACACAGGTGAGTAGCCCTAGAAGCACCGTAGTGGGAGGTCTGTTTACTGGACATGGGGCTTACCTAAGGTGCCCGTCCAGGACTTTAGGAATTTCGGATGCAAAGTGATCTCCTGGCCGGGACAGTCAAAGTCCTGGTTCTTCCACACGGTAATTTTTACGGGTTTGCCACATTTTGGTTCATCGAGCGTTTGCCAGGCTCGTGGTTTTGCTGGCATGCCCAGGCTGGTTCACATTGCTGATCAATGACGTCAATTTGCTTGTCAGCTCTGATTGACTTTCTCCCATTCAGAAAATTTCCCCAATTTGACCCAGCCCGACTGAGTACAAGAGGAAGCAAAAAGCATAACATAGGAGAAGAAGCAAAGAGTCATCATTAAGAGAAAATTTATCAGAGCAGCATTCTGCATTCTTCTAATCTCCCATTGAAGAGGCACTTCCAGGGGGAGCAAATGAGCAGCTCTTGCTAGATGAGGCTTTCGTGTTTGGTTCAATCCAAATATCCTCAAGATCACAGGAAGGGAAGATCCCGATGAAGACGTATAGGATAACGAGTCAATTTGGGGTTTTATTGCATCTTTACTGGCTACTAACTACAGATTTTGTACCAAAACTGTCCAACTTTGATAGAGGCACCTACTTTTCGTTGGGATGAGCGGCATTCCACTCTATGCTCCTTGCAATGGCTTCAGGAATGGGAGGAGCGACCGGCAAGTCAGCACTGGATGGTTTGTAGCCATCCTGGTCAGCAACGTACTGGAGAACATGCGGAGCTCCTTCGAGATCGACCCATTGAGCTACTCCTTGGACAGCTTGGCCATCGTTGATTTGCCTGCCCTCCTGCTGCTGACTGGAGCCATCAGCTGACTCGTAGCTCCACTCGAAGGAGCCGTCTGGGCTCGAGTCGAACTTTGCCGATGTGACGGCTACCGGCTCTTTCGCCACTGCGCTGAGCACAACAGTGGCTAAACCGAACAGAACCAGGGCTTGAGAGAACATCTTCAGAGTGTGATGCTTGTTGAAGCAAGCTTCTTCTTTTTATAGGCTGCCGAAATATTCATTTAATACTGAAAAAGGTTACGACCTGGATGTATTTCGATAATTTAAATGAGAACTGCTACTTGCCGCCTTCATGAATATGCTAATGTGGATTAAAGATCGGGCTTCAAACTGCTTAGTGATGAATTGATGATATCAATTTCATTATAGTCTTCCAAATTGGGTGTTGCGATATCAGGGGCGGATCTGCAATAAAAACACAAGTTTTGGTGTTTTTTGTAGCTTTCCTAGTTGCTCATTTTCTTGCTTAGAGAATCAGAAGCAGTTTATCTAATCAAATCTGAATCTTCACTTTGCCTTGTAGATGTTAAAAAGCGCTGGCAATTAATGGGAATTCTTCATTATCTTCCAAGGCATTGTTTGTGGTAAAGTTCAAAGTCTTCATGGTGGCTGCACCTGCACTGATTTCATTCATTCAATTTACGATGGGAACGCATTTTCCCTTTCATCTATTTTCCTTTTCATCCTCGAATTGAGGCCTCAAAGTCTTCGACTAGTTTCGGAGTGATTAAAAACGCGCAGTTTTATCATTGCAAAATCAATTAATTCGAATGTTTGAACAACCTTCACATTTGAACGTCGATACTTTCCGATCTCGTGCTGAGAGAAGAATCGCATAATTAGCCAAGATAAAAATAATAATTAGTCAAGATTTTACTTGTGCATGTTTTGGMTAAACCATTCCAAACTTCAATCAACGCTTAAAAAAAACGCAGTATCCGTTTTTGTCAAACGTTTTGCTGTTATTAGCTGCAATCATCCTCAAAWRTKATCAACCAGTAGCCAAATTCAATCAGCAAATATGCAGGAATACCGGCAGGCATTTGCCCTAATCRCATGCAAAAATAAATCGGTTACATAAAGTGAAGAATGAACGTGATCGGTCGTTGATCTGGTTCATCAKACACCCAAACAATGCGACCAACGAATCGTGACCGAGAAGATCGCTCGATTTATTACAACATTTTGAGAAGAAAGTCGAAGAGAGTGACATTTTGTATGGGATGATTATTATGTGATTCTATGGTAGATAGGATGGAACAACTGGCTGAGAAAGTGGTAGGTTGGTGAAGAACACTGGGGGCTCAATGGGAACTTTCTGAATTTTGAAGAAGATTGATTGGAACCACTGGAAGAACATGGCCAGTGAGATCACCAGATTTGGGAACACTTGCTTTCACCTAGGGAAATGAATGAATTTCGGCAAGAATGTGATCTTTTGCGATGATAACTAATTTAAAAATACCTTGTTTGCATAACTGGATCTGGAGCTGATCTTTGGATAAGCGAATGAGAGAGAATCTCTTGTTTTGTAAATCCTTCAATGCTCCTTGGGATGTAGAACTTAACTTTAGATGCGTTTTTTTTAATTTATTATTTTATATGTTATTTACAATAATTCCCATGAAACACCCGATTCCCGACTTCGTGTGGTTCTTCCCCTGTTCATCCAACCTGGTAGTAAAAAGTGAAACTTCGGATTTTTGTGTGCTCTTTTGATATTTAACATCCCATCCATCGATGGTACTTCTGGCACCCACGCGATTCTAAACCAGTCGGCAAATTCAGCGTCGCATGTGATAATGTCAGGTACATTATGCTCATTGGTTGCACAAGTTCTAACGTGTGTCTGCTTGACCTTATCGGTAAATTTCCCAAGAATATTTATAATAAAGATTACACTTCTTATGAAAAAGGTCAATGAGGATCTCGGGTCGCAATAATAAAATACGCTTCATTTCAAGATTGAAGAAAATGACATTGATTTTTCCTTTCATTTTGAACGGGGCTCGTAAACAATGATCGAGTAGTGAAGAAATGCTGCTCCAATCAATCAATATATTGGTTCTATTGATCAATCAACAGTTGCACATTCCTAAGCCTGTTTGTGCATAAATTGATGGGAACTTTTCCTGCGTTAGGGGTAATTCCAGATTCCGTTTCAGTTTTCTTTGCTAAAATTGACAGTTTTTGGTTGAAAAAAACTAAGCCGTTGGATTGCGCCAGAAAATTAACGCAAAAATTCAACATTTAGTATCTTCCGACAGAAAAACGATGCACTTCAATGGTGTTTTAGCCAGTCAAGACTATTTTCTAAATCTGCATGCATTTG